GTTCACGGTGTTAAAGTCAGTTGTTAGGATTGCGGAAAATGGCACCTACACGTTCACGCTGATATTTTTGGTATTCCTGTGGGATTAAGTTAACTTCTTTTTTTTTAAATTTATTTAGGAAAACAAATAACTGAACAATACATATTTTTCTTAAGATAGTTCAATAAATATTAAAACTAAGTAATTGGACAGTCAACACCGTTATCCTAGTTTAACCCTACAGTGGTCGCGCGGATTACACCCGTAATCCACTCGTGCAAATTGTCGAATATTTTGAAATCGGTCAACGCGATCGTGTTGATACTTCGTGTACTTTAAGTTGCAAAGTCGACGATCACACTTAATGACGTGTGAGCGCCAGGTCTCTTGTGGATGTGTCGCAGGAGCCCCGTAAATGCCGATGGCCTACCCGTGTAATCCGCGCGACCAATTGCGTAAGTATTTTTTAAGTTACCTTTTTTACTTAATGTGTTTGTTTTTGCATTATTTGTGTAAATTAATGCTTTATAATAAATAATTAGGGCATAGGTATGTATTTAAATTTGTGTTTACAATAAAATCATGAACAATAGACAAAAAGCACAAATTGCAGAATGGCTAGAAGTAATTGACAATGAAAGCGTATCTTCTGGCGACTCTTCGGTTTCTGATGAAGAAGTGCACATTCTTCCACAAGAGAACAAGTTTCTCAGACCAGTGATTAGCCATCTAACTCAGAACCATCACAGCGGAGATTTTGAGGTCGCTACTTTGACTGCGGAAGAAAGCTAAATCAAAGTACTGGAAATACTTGTAATTCGTGCAGCAAATTTATTTGTCCTTATCATTCCATTATGGCCTGTATCTTCTGTTCAAAATATAATTAATAAATAAGTGCAATTAGTACTAAATATTTTTAAACTGCCAAAGTTGACATTTTCATGACGAAAAATGATGATTTTTATGTTTTGGTTAATTTATAAAAACTGAGAAGAACTGCTGGTTTGTTTGTTTGATTATTTCATTAACTAATACATAACAATAAATATAAAAAATAAAGAAACATGTTTTTATAAAGAGATGTCTTCTTTTTTAACTCCATAAAATGGCTTACGCATGTAATCCGCGCGACCATTAACGTAATATTTTAGAGCGCGACCACCGTAGGGTTAATAAAATGAACATGCAATGTACGTACCCTACAGATACTTAACTTAATAAATTACCACTACTAATAACAAATGCGAAAGTGTCAACAAAACGCAAAGGCCACTCAATGGACCTTCATGATACCTTACAGAACCAACTGTAAACGATCACGAAACAAGAGAGTACCAACACTGAATCGGTCAACAACAAATTCTTTAAATAACTATTATACTATAATGTTATTAGATTTTCCGACCAAATTATTGGTATTATTTGTAATAATGTCGGATAGGGCGAGGATTTTGGGTTGATGGAGTTTCGGTAAAGTAGCTCGTCCACGTCGTTCCGAATATGGACTATTGAAGTGAATATTAGTAATTTATGCAATACAAATAAATTATGTACCTAAAATAAGTAGTTTATTTTAAGAAATGTATTTTTAAATTGCTAAACTAGACCCAAATAATACCTACCATTAACAATCTAAACATTTTACTAAATTGCTTACTTTTCGTGGAAGACTAGATTTACTGAGTTTTACTGAGTTTTAGAAATCACAGTATTCATAACTTTAGTTTCAGACCTTAGCCTCCTTTTAGAACGAATTTTAAAAATGCGGCAGCTAAAGCGACATCTGGTGAACTGAATATTTCCCCCACATTAAGTTCATGTATATTTATGAAGTTCGAGGAATAGAAAATACTAGAAGAAAGGCGTTTATTTCTTCATTTTCTAAATGTTTATTTTATTATAAAATAATTGTCACTTTTTTATCGAGACTAATAAGGCTCTTGTTCTGATTTTTGTTATAAATTGTTGAGCGTTAAAAAATAATTATTATGATTGCTTAAAATCTTCAACCACAAGCATAAGTAGAACTTGAGTTAATTGTTGTTTTTTATCACAGCGTTCTCACTTGTCAAATTCACAGATTACGTGCTGAGGGCCTAGTGTGAGTTTACATTAAACGCGCTCACTAGTGAAGACGTTTCATGTAAACTCACACTCAACCACTGGCCTAGGTTTAAAGAAACAGATGATGATATACACTATGAAGACGAAAAAATAGACAGTCACGGTAAAAAGAAGTTAGATAAAAATCTATCTACCTTCTTGAGGGTCCTAATATTGTTGCGTATAAAATGTAACAAGCTAAGAAGATTAAACTGCTACTCACGCCCCGTATTCACAAACGTATGAGGTGTTACAGTGCGCGTGGACGCACGCACACTATCAAATCACAGAGCTCTATTCAACGCTGTACGTTACATTTTCTGCTTTACCTACGCAAGCAAATTTTGTAAATACGGCTATAAAAAAACTCAATAAAAACTCATTTATTTCTGTAAATAGGCTTAAAAAAAGCACTTTTACACGTCCCAGTATTAACCCTACCACTGCTTCAGGACAATAAATGGGCCAGTGCTGAGAAGAAGCAGCGCAAGAAACTCAGTCACTATTGTCAGCCTCTTTTTCAAAGGTTTACATGCTTTAAAATGTACAAAGTTATAAATATTTATTTATGCGAGCTAGGCAGTAAAGTATCCCAAACATTTTTATCTTTTAAATAATCATCGACTTTATAGTAGCCCTTTTTCATTAAGGTACTTTTAATATGTGCTTTGAATTTATGAATGGGTAGTTCTACAACAGTTTGTGGTAATTTATTAAATAATTTAATACATTTTCCCATAAATGAATTACCAATCTTATGCAATCTGAAATTTGGAACGGCAAGTTTATTTTTGTTTCTTGTATTAAAGTTATGCAAATCGCTCTTTTTCGTGAATTGCTCTATATTTTTGCGGACATATAAAAGGTTTTCATAAATGAACTGTGAAGCTACTGTCAGTATGTTAATTTCCTTAAAAAAATCTTTCAAGGAAAATCGGGGTCCAAGGTTATAAATGGCCCGCACTGCTCTCTTCTGCAGAACAAACACAGTTTCAATGTCCGCGGCTGAGCCCCACAACAATATGCCGTATGACATTATACTATGAAAATAGCTAAAATATACTAGCCTTGCCGTTTCAATGTCAGTTAATTGCCTTATCTTTCTCACTGCAAAAGCAGCCGAACTGAGCCTTTTTGACAAAGTTTCAATATGAGGACCCCATTGAAGTTTAGCATCTAAAGTGATTCCCAGGAATGTTGTGGAATTTATGCTATTTAATGGTTCATTCTTCACCATTAATTGCGTGGAAACCTGCCTCACATTAGGTAAGGTAAATTTAATGCACTTAGTTTTGTTTGCATTTAACAATAAGTTGTTAACAGTGAACCAATGTAGAACCTGTGAGAGTGTGTTATTAATATCGTCAAAATTTACTTTACCTCTATCAACTTTGAAAATGAGAGATGTGTCATCAGCAAATAACACAATATCACACAGATCTTTTACAAAGTAAGGAAGGTCATTAATATAAATAAGAAATAGCAAAGGTCCTAATATTGATCCCTGCGGCACACCCATAGTAAGAGGTGCTCCAGAAGACTCAGTTCCGTTAATACAAACTTTTTGTTTTCTGCCTGTGAGATACGAGTTCAGCAGATCAAGTGACTTATTCGAAACACCATAATGTCGCAATTTGTTTAGTAAGGTTTGGTGGTCTACACAATCAAACGCTTTTGAAAGATCACAGAAAATACCAACAGCGTCCTTTTTACTCTCCCAAGCATCAAAGACGTGTTTCAATAGTGCTACCCCAGCGTCAGTAGTACTTCTACCTTTCGTAAAACCAAATTGCTTATTGTGTAATAATTTGTTAAAAATGAAGTGAGATAGAAGTTGGTGGAAAATAATTTTCTCAAAAATTTTGCTAAGTACTGGTAGAATAGAAATCGGTCGAAAATTAGAGGGGTCACATTTGTCACCAGCCTTGAACAATGGAATTATTTTACTTAACTTCATTAAGCTAGGAAAGCAACCTTGATCAATACATGTATTAAAAATGAATGCAAGGTGAGGAGCTATGGTGTCAATAATTGTTCCAATTATACTGACGGAGATTCCCCAAAGGTCCTCAGTTTTTTTCATATTTAATTCTCTAAAGGTTTTAATTATTGTATTACAATCTATATGCCTGAACTGGAGCAGACACTGGCACTCGGTGACATTAGATTTTAAAAGAGACTCTGCAAGAACTGGTGATGAATTCAGTTCTTTAGTTGTTTCAGACGCAATATTGGAGAAGAATGTCTCAAATGTGGTTGCAACTTCTGTATCGGAATTTATAATTTCGTTTCCGATTTTCAGTGAAAAAGTGTTATCCTTCGATTTATTTTTACATGTTTGTTTATTTATTATGTTCCACGTAGCCTTAGCTTTATTATTAGAATTTAAAATCATGTTTCGAAGATGATTTGATTTAGCAGCCAAACAAACCTTTTTAAATATTTTTGAGTAATTTTTAACATATTCTATAACACTCAGATCTTGCGTATCGGCTTTAAGACTATATAATTCATACATTTTATTTCTACTCTTGTGAATGCCAGTTGTAGCCCAGTCATCAAATTTACATTTAACAGAATTTATTCGGATCTTTTTCTGTGGGAATGTGGTTTTGAATTCCTCACTCACAACACTGAATAGATCCTCATAAATTTGATCGACATTATTGTCATCTAATATAAGTTTATCAATACCATCACAAATATTTTTCTTAAATTTGTCAATTCGGTTAGTTGTTATTGGCCTACAAACAACATCCACTGTACTAGGGACATGATGGTGTTCAAATGTGGCCAATTGTCCACTATGATCTGAACTAAGGCAATTAATTATTGATTTACTTTGAATATTACAGTTACAAAAAATGTTATCTAAGCAAGTAGCTGAGAATAAAAAAGAAGTTCATGAAAATCCTTACCCTCTTGAGGGTCCTGATGATGTTGACGTAGCTGAAGGTGATGACGGCGAGCGGGACGATCTGGCCCATGGCGAACAGGAACATAATGTAGGTCAGCGTGTTCATGGACTGCTCGTGCCAGTTCACGGAACAACTGTATGGAAAAACAAATGAAAAGATTTTATCATTCAAACGAAGATAATAATTTTGGGAACGGCATTATGTTTATGTATTACAGCAAGTTTTATGTAACTATTGATTCTATTGCAATATTACTACTAGACAGGGAAATATTTAAATATAATTTTGTAAGCCACAAAGAAATTCTTATGGTGCGTCCACACTGGGCGAACGGGCTCGCGCGGCAAACTCAACATCCTGCTCACTCAAGAGTAACGTGTTAACGCACCTACGCAGCTACGCCGTGGTAAACCAATTCGCTATGTTAGAAAATTATTTGGAGCGACACGATCCTGGAGACATAAATGTATAATACTTATATTGTTTGTGTTAATCAATTTCTATAGTTGTGTTTTCTATGTATTATTATGTATGTATTTACAAAAAAAATGTATTTTAAGTATGTTTATATCTCTTGTCTAGTACCCATAGTAGGTACAAGCTTTGCTTAGTTTGGGACTATAGTCTAGTCCGTGAGCACATAGAATTTTGTCCAATGACCCCTAGCTACCCATCCTTATCGCTCGCGCGTAATTATATTACTATCGCGCTCGCACACTCACTGCGGGTGCCAGTCGCACAGTCGCGACAGCAATATAATTACGCGCGAACGATAAGGATGGGTAGCAGGGGTCATTGGACAAAATTCTACGTGCTCACGGACCGGGCTTTAGAGGCGCAGTGTAAAATGTCCACGGATTATATTTATTATTTATTTATTAATTTATTAATACGAATTCCCAATTATGTTCAACAGGAGTTCGTGTTTTGGAAATTCTCTCGGGCTGTTACTATGAAAAAATATTGAAACATCTTTTTTTACATTATAAAAACGTTTTTATAAAAACAAAAGATTGTTTTTACAAAAACTTGGACTCCATTCCCAAAGGCAGAACTGACGGTGATAGCTACTTTATTTAAACATTCTCAATTACCTACATATTTGTTTTTTTGGGATGCTCTTTTTCACTTTTTCGTTCATTCATGAGCTTTGTTGTCAACTGTCGGAAACGCTAGAGGTTTGAATAAATTTTCTTTTGAATTATAAATTTTTGTTTAAAAAAAAACAAATTACCTGCCTGGTTAAATGTCGTTCTAAAGGGATACTCTATATTCCACCAAAAAGTGTGTTTTTGACAGAACAGTGAATTTTTAAAATATGTAGGTAATCGAAATTTTACCACACTTACTTTTTTTGTCCGCGACTTCGTCCTCGTGAATTTATAATAATTACATCGTTTTGTAACCTATGGCTATTTGTTTATCAATAACCTTACACACCTCTTAGATTCTTACACCTCCATCTAAAGTTGTGCCTATAGTAATAGGAATTAAGACTATACTAGCTCTATCTCATATCAGGAAAGTTATGAGAGTAATGAAAATAATAATCTATTTGCTAACTACTTCTTATTGTTGGATAGCTCACAAATCAAGTCCATCCACATAGTTTCCCAAAATAATTGCCTGTGCAAGAACGTGGATCCACGCCAACTGGGTTTTGGCATACAAAGAGTTTAAGCAACAAAATAAAGTATTTTACCACTGCTTCCTGCAAGTGATTTGGCTTTATGATTCGTAACGTAGATGGTCGTATTCTTATTAATTTTTATTGGCAAGGTTAAGCATTAATTATTAGCTCTTTATGAGCTAAGGTTCCACTGCTGGGTGAAGGCCTTCTCCAAGGATTCCACAACGACCGTTCCTGTGCGCTACCCGCATCCATATGGTAGATGCTGAGTTAAAATGGGGATGCTGGTAAAATGGCATTACTAGGTAATGCGATTTTAGCGTCGCAAATCGTTGTTGTAGCCCCCTTGAGATAATGCGAACCGAGTGTCTTGTTCGTAACTAATGTAATTGCGCAAAATATCTCATTGCTAACCTTGTGTTTAGATATTAATTGTAGCCGTAGTTACCTCACGCAATAAATAGCAGCGTAGTTCGCAGCATGTTCTACGAGCTACTAAAAAAACTCATAAAACTCATTTACTTTTGCAAATACGCTTTTAAAAAGCTCTTTTACACGTCCCAGTATTAACCCTACCACTGCTTTTGGACATTGAATGGGCCAGTGCTGAGAAGATATCTGTATTCAGCTGATACACGCAAACCTGACTTTTGTGAGCTGAGCTGATCTTCGGCATCGTTACCATCATGTATCGCTTAAACGACACGTACCGCTCTAACGAGTACAATGTCCGGGAATTAATAGACATAGTCTCTAAGTCAGGGTTTCCCAAACTATTCGCGAGCGAAAATTGAGTGGGCCCTGCCTGTAGAACGACACACCACCATACCGATCCAACCGCTGGGCAGCGGGCGAAATTTCCTGTAGGTGGGTCCCGTAGTTTGGGAATTTGTAGTAGATGAGTCGTAGCCCAGACAACTTTGGGAACCACTGCTCTAAGTGATATTGAGGTTACGGGTAGCCTCTGGATGCTGGCAGCCCAGGACTGGCTGATGTGGAAATCTTTCAGCAGCCTTTTGTCTAGCAGCGGACATCATTTTAACGAACTAACCTGATATTGGCAGCTTCGTTGACGTAGTTCCCCCAGCCCATCAGCGGCGGCGTGGTCAGCGCCAGGGAGTAGGCCCAAATGAACACTATGGACAGGACTGCGCCCTTCGAGCTGAGGTGTCTTGAACTGAGCGGCCTGGTAACCATCATGTATCGCTCGAACGAGATCACGGTCAGCGTCGTGATTGACGTTATACCTGGAGACAAAAAAGGAGGTTAGAGTAATCCTGGAAATGTTTCAGATGTTCTGCCTACCGAAACTTTAGCACTTGGCACGAACAAAACAATACTTCAACCGATTCTACTCAAATTGACCGCTGCAGAGCCAATATAAGTTGCTGAACCATGGCTGACTTAAATTTCTCGATTAGACAAATGAAGACCTGTAGGCCTAAGATGCGCGCCGTGATAACTTTTATCGACGTCAATTTGTATGGGCAAAATCGATAAAATGGCGTGATAACCGCTTATCACGGCGCACATCTTAGGCCTACTGGCTAAGGCTCATGGGTGATACGAGTCGCATAATTAGTCGGGGTTCTTACAAAAGAAAACGAAGAGATTTCATATGTCTCAACCGCACATAAAGCGATGTTGCGTTGATCTTTTGATTTTTGAGAGTACTTATAGTAGTACACATATTTTATCCTGATACTTTGTTTATACTTAAGTAGCAATTTCCCAAAATACCTAAATCATAATTCAAGGAAGTAATAATAAAAAATACCTCAACAAAAGATTCTTTTAAAGGTATATGATACACAATACAGCCATTGTTTAAAAAATACTAAACACAAAGTCAAGAGTTGTTTTAATTACAGACGGCAAGAATGGATTGCACGGAAGAAATGCTTTGTTGGAAACCTTGTTACTTTCTCTGAGACTTTATAAAATAAATGTTTCAGACCTAAATGCTATAAAGTTACGTAACATTAGACTATTTAAGGCCGAGTTGCACCAACTAACTTTAACGGTAACTATGATAATAATTGATGCTTTTTGTATGGAGTTTGACAGATTTTTTACGTTTGTTAAAGCTAAAGTAAGATGTTGCATTGCAACTCACCCCTGTGCCTTTCTTGACAATAAATGAGAAAACATTAGGAATCTTTAATTGAGCCTCAAAAACACAATCAGTACTAAGTAGATCTCGCAATCAACCGATTGGAATCTAGTACTGATTAAACATACTGAATATAGCGTGGGCAGGCCTCCTACTAGGTGGACCGACGATCTGGTAAAGGTCGCGGGAAGAGCTTGGATGCGGGCAGCGCAGGACAGTTCATTGTGGAAAACCTTGGGAGCCTTTGTTCAGCAGTGGACGTCATTCGGCTGAAACGAACGAACGAACTGAACATAAGGCAAAAATAAAGCAATGAAAATCTATTTTTTTATCTTATATCAGTTGTATTATTATTATGAACCAGTTGTATTATTATTATGAACAACTTGAAAGAAAGAAACTGTTTACCATTATCTATCCACGTTTTCCACAATCCGCATGTAACAGCGATTGTGAAAGAATTATTTTCGCTCTAGTTACATCAACCCTTTTGAAGTAACTAGCGCGAAAAAAAATACGCAATTTAAGAAGGAATGGTACAGACGACAGCATATCAGACTATACATTTTTTTTGTAAAATGGTCCTTGTTACAACTGCATAAGATACTAGTGTTCAGCTTGAAGTGCCGTCGTTTGTATTTACTTACAAAAAAGTTAATACATATTTTCCAATCGCTATAAAAACAAACGTAGAATAAAGAATTTTGCATGTGTTTGTACGTTATACTAATCTATAATCTTAGATTAATAAAACCTAGATAGATAGTCAGTGCACGAAAGGTGAGGCAGATTTTAGTGAGCCTCAATGGCTCACTCGTAAACGTCGGCTACCTAAGTAAACTCCGACAAACTTTACTTCGACATTACGTTACTCCGACATTTCTGAATATCGACATGACTTTACTTCGACACTACACTACTTAGACAAAGGCGAATATCCTTTGTCGGAGTAGTGTAGTGTCGAAGTAAAGTCATGTCGATATTCAGTAGTGTCGGAGTAACGTAATGTCGAAGTAACGTTTGTCGGAGTTCAGTTTTTGAGCCAAACGTCGGCTACCTAAGTAAACTCCGACAAACTTTACTTCGACATTACGTTACTCCGACATTTCTGAATATCGACATGACTTTACTTCGACACTACACTACTTAGACAAAGGCGAATATCCTTTGTCGGAGTAGTGTAGTGTCGAAGTAAAGTCATGTCGATATTCAGTAGTGTCGGAGTAACGTAATGTCGAAGTAACGTTTGTCGGAGTTCAGTTTTTGAGCCAAACGTCGGCTACCTAAGTAAACTCCGACAAACTTTACTTCGACATTACGTTACTCCGACATTTCTGAATATCGACATGACTTTACTTCGACACTACACTACTTAGACAAAGGCGAATATCCTTTGTCGGAGTAGTGTAGTGTCGAAGTACGAAATCTCAGAAACTACAAGTGCTAGAAGTAACAAATATTGGATGGGAGTTCCTTTTAGAACGTAGGTGCTCACTAAGACGGGATTTGCAAAATTCACGCGATCCACGCGTACGAAGTCGCGGGCGGCTGCTAGTACCTAATCATATAAGATATTATTTCAGAAAAACATTTTCACATAGGAAATTGGTATTTATTGTCACAATGGATTCTGTGGCAATCAAAGCATTGACGTCAAATAGGTATTAAGTATACCTTTGATTGAATTTGACGAAGCGGCTTTATTCATTACGATAATAATATTATTTGGGCCTTCTCAATATTCAGTAACAGGAAATTAAATAGCGGAATTCAACAGTCAAGGATAATGATACTTAATAGACCAGATATTTTGTCCCACATTTTATTAGAAATGCCTTTGGAAATATGAAATCCGTATTTCCGCAATAATATAAATAAGGAAGTCTGTTTGTGACCTTTTCATGCTTAATAGATGTAGTTTGGGATCACCCAAGGAAAAACAGGATAGTTTTTATCCCGAAATCCCGACCTATTTAAAAGAAGGCGCACGCAATAAAGTCATTAAGAGGGGGACTGACGTTTCATCGTGACATACCGTTACGGAGGTAATTGTTACGTACGACCTCGCCTCGGATGTCAAATTACGACAATGCTCTCACGTCAGTCGCTAGTTTTGCTGCGACAAACAGGCGGGTAAAGCCGCGTGCAAAAACTAGTACATATTATAAACTAGCTTTCCGCCCGCGGCTTCGCCCGGGTGGAATTTTGTCTGTCATAGAAAAACAATATCGCGCGCGTTTTTGCTCACCGTTTAGACCTACCCTGGACTACGACAAACATTTTAAAACCAAAATCAGCTCAATCGGCCCAGCCGTTATCGAGTTTTAATCAGACTAACGAACATCATGACACATAATTTACCGACTTTACGTACGGTTCTGATCAAAACTAAGTAATTTGATTCTAGTTTCCAAGACCTGAAAATTAAATAAACTTTTAAGAAGGGGATTAAAGTATTTCTGCTTCCCGAAAAAGTCCCGAGTATGATCCTATATGATGAGTAGGTAGCGTTGTTGTAAAGAATTTTCCTGTTAATCTGCCATCACTCTCCTTATACGATACTTACGCCTGTATTCACAAACGATATTTGTTTAAGTGAAGTAGCAAATCGAGCTTTGTGATTGGTTCGCGTGTCACCCTGTGCGTCCTCGCGCACTGTGAGACCTCATAGTAATGTTTGTGAGTACGGGCGTTTTAAGTAGTTTCCCTCGTAGCGAAACCATGACAGCGAAATCAAAGTACACACAACATCGCGTTCGCTTCCGCACATCACAGAATGGATTCACATTAGCAACGCGCAGTGGCAAAGTGAACGCAGGGATGTGTATCGAAATCATGTTGCTGTGAGCTTTCATGGTTTCGCGGCGACGCGGCGGGTTAGGCTGAGAACTCATGGTGCGATTTTCGGCCCCGCAGCTTCTGTAGAATGCAGATATTTATGTAAAAACTAATGCAAAACTCACGACGCGGTTTTCGTCCGCAGCGGGCGCGGTTGTAATCGGGTCCCGCTCGGCGCTCGGCGGCGCCCGCGCGAAAACCGCACGATCGGTGGGCGACCATTTTGTACCAGTGACTTAGTTAAAATCGCGCCGTAAGTTCTTAGAATAACCGCGCAAGTAACCGCTCCCGTGAGTTTTGAAATAAAGCCGCAATTCCACAACCGCCGCGGGCGCGACGGGTGAAAATCGCGCCGTGAGTTCTTAGCCTTAGCCTAAGGTGTGCTACAGATTATGAAGAGTCGCGTTTCTGTTGCCATGGCAACCGTTTAATTCGAATTTCTGACGCTTCAAGACACTCCACTCAGCAGTAAATATCACAATGGCTAACTTCTTGGCGGGAAAGTGAAGTCATGTTTTGGCAGTTCTGTTTTATTAACCGACTTCAACAAAAGAAGGAGGTTATCAATTCGGTTGGTGTGTTTTTTTTTTCTAAAATTGTTGTCTAGCCAAAAATGTTTCAGCGAGGTCTTAATAAAGTCCACAAACCACATCTTTATTCAAGGAAAGAAATAAATATTATAATCAACTTATTATTTATTATTCATTAAATCATGTATAATGTACAATATGAATGACACTGGTGCTAACCCGAAGTCATAAAGGAAGAAAATCGTGTCGCTATGAGCTTTCGCGGTTTCGCCGCAGGGATGTTCTACCGACAAATGATCATGAGTCACATTTCAATTGCCATGGTAACCGTTTGGCTCAAATTACAGAACGTTCTGACGCGCCACGACACCACAACAAAGACTGATTGAGAATAAAATTATGAAGATTGCTCTATTAAAATTCACGCCGGCTGTGCTGATAGTCAAACCAATTTAATGGATGTCTGGCCACCGCTATAAATAACTATTTAACACCATTCCCCAATAATTCGAAGTCACAAATTTTGTAAAAAGACACTTCATTATGATCTTAAAAACTTAATTTTAATTTTAAATTACCAGTAAATTAAGATTTTAAAAAAAGTAGTTTAATTGAGTTGACAAAATTGTGACGTCATTTGTTTGTCATTGCCAAAAATCTATGGGAGAGTCTCGTTTTGACAGTGTTAGGGTCCTAACGAATATTAGTAAAATAAAATAGTGGACTGTATAAAAAATAGGTGCTGTAATTCTCGCCAGCCTAATTA